ACAGGGCAATCTGGTTATACCCTTTATATCCTTAATTTATCGAGCCATTAAATGTTCTCTCCCAGAGATATCAGCCGAAGTATCGCCTTAACAATAGTTTTGACCCCTAATTTAATGGTGAGCTCCTTAAACCAAAGTTGATGAAAGCAAATTGAATTTTTCCAATTATAGAATGAAAAGGTAAAGTAGATCCGTAGAAACCAGCTGGTATCTCTTCCACATTATTCAGAAGCCAATGCTGTTAGGGTTGTTGGCGCTCCAAGCAATTTTCTACCTGAGCACAATTTTTAACCTTTCTTTGTACATCCTCAGGAGCATAATCTCCAACAGCTTCCCTGGTTAATTTAATCAGTGGCTTCATGCCTTACACACAGTCCCTGGTCACCTTCACTCTCTTTGTACAAATATATTTCTTTTCATATAACCGAGCCAGTGACTTCCATCTAATATTAGCAGAAGCAAAGTGAGGAGGGCTACAGAGGTCTGGATCTGGAGAAATCCTCATTCTCAAAGGCCCCATGGCCGGCCTCACTGTTCTGTTAGGGAAGGGTCTCATCTGCCTTCATCCCAGCCTGTACAGCGCCATCTAACTATAATTCTAACTCAAGCTTTTAAGCTTGCAAGAGAGGATTGTTCATCAAGCTGTGGGGATTTAGTGAAACCTCCACCATCAGCCTGTCAGCCACTCCAGTCCCTCACCACCACGCTCAGCACCGAAGGGCCCCTCTTCCCTTCTGCACATAAACATGGCGGAACTACGAGACAGAGACCCAGGGAGATTAGCACACACTCACGCCTCATCTCAGAAGTTTCCAACTGAACTATCCAAAAACATAAACGCAACTACTTTCTAGTATTCTCACATTATACGTAGGCTTTTACAAACACCGGAAAAGAAAAACAAGTTCAGCATGGAAACTGTCCTTGTGTTTATCCTTTCCTACTTCTCCCTGTATCCACGTAGAACACATGCAAACTGGAGCCCAAGGTTGTAACTCTGCTTCCCGGCCTTCCTTCGCCTTCATGAATGATTCAGTATTTACGTTTCTGCTTAACACACGAAGACGGACAGCACTGCTTCTCCACAGCTCCCAGCACAGGCTCCCTGATGGTGGGATGGTTACTCTCTCCTCTAATTTTTCTCTAATTTATAAAGCTCACTGTCACTGTTCATATTCATAAGCGTTCTCATTTTTCAAAATCTTATCTTCCAATGTAATATTTTCAAGGCAACGGCATTTACCCAGAGGAGTTACTGCATTACGGCAGTGCACGGGAGGAAGTTTCAACCACTCCGCACGGCTCCGTTCAGTCTTCTCCAGCCTCCAGCTTGTCACACTGCCTACTCACCAAAAGCCGAGTGCGTGAAAAGGGGTAAAAATAGAAATATTAAGAAAAATGCGATCAGCTGACATTATGAAAGGCCTCGGGTTTTTCTTTAAGATTTTACATTTCCACTTCATTTTCACAAGCCAGGTCAGAGGCAGAGAAATACCTTAAAAATCAACACACAGACCACAAAAGAACATGTAGTCTCAGAATAGACTATAAATGATTTTCCGCAAAATCCAACTGTGTGAGAAAACAGCAAAACACACCAGCACTTCACAGAAATGGCTCCATCCTTTGGAAAAACTTTGCTAAATTTTGGCCGGCACAGGGGTTCATCGAAACACACAGCTTAGGGAGACACAAGGGTGGGGGAGGCTCTTGGATTCAAGATTTCAACAGCACAAGACTTTTACTAGTGGACCAGAGAAGGACTCTGTCAGCCACAGGCATCTGCTGAACACTTCCAAAGCTGGCTGCACTTAGGTTAGGTGCTATGTAACTGCTGTGTTACTCTGTGTCTCTCCTGGTGGAGGAAAGGGAGACTTAGAGAGAACAACAAGCTCATCTAAGGAGGTGTCACAAGAAGATACAGGGCCCCGAATTCAAATGCAGTTGATTTAACTTTTAACCGTTATGTGGATGCAGAGTTTATGCTCTGCCTGTGGGCACTTCCGACAGAACTTATGTTGAGCATAACTGTGAAGAGAGAGAGATGGAGACAGAGGGAGAAAGGGAGGAAGGAAAAGGGAGAGAGAGGTTAGACAGAGACTATTCAAATATTTCAATGAAAGTGCTGCTAATTACTGATTTCTGGGACTGGTTATGAGACCAGAGTCTGCTGCGCACATCCACAGGACACCTCACAGATGCTCCTTCTATTATGAGCACATTGCTGGAGCTGCTTTGGATTTCTTCCTAAGCAGAAATTTGAAACCTATTCATCATGACACATAAACACAAATCCAAGAATGCAGCAACCCCCAAAGCAAAGGACCCATCCTTATTTTTACCACGGTGGCAAACTGCCCTGTGCTACTGTGACTGAGGAATGATGTCCTGGGCTCCTCTGTGGTGTTTACTGAGAAATTTTCAGAAGAAATTCTAAGTTGAGCTCCATGAACTGATGTAAAACAACATCTCAGTGAGATGATGCCATTCTTCGTTACCTTCTGTCCCTCTCACTACATCCACGCCCAGAGGCCACATCACGTCAGGGCCCCATGTGCTGAAGTCCTTGTCTAGGGATGCTTTTGGGTAACCCAGCTAAGAGATAGAAGCTAAAATCAGTTAGCTTACTTCACATTCATGTATTATTTGACATAGTTCACTCTTATCAGTGCTCACATTTATATCATATATTTGTTCCATGAAGGTAGAGGGTGTTCCCGACTTCTGATACCAAGTCAGACAAGAAGTACACATCAGCTAGACAGGAACTGAAACTCTCAGGGGCCTTCCTTTTATGTGACTCCAGGGCTACTTTATTTATAGAAGTTTTACTTAATTAAATCTCACCTTGGCTACTGTGAAATCAATTCTTAATCCCACACATCCGCAGGTATCTGAGATGGTTGCAGTTTGAACAGAAGGGCACTGGGTGGCTGGGGGAGTGGCCCCGAGATCACACATTGTTACCGGGGAGCAAGGCCAGTCCCATAGCCACAGTTTCAGAGCCAACTTCCTGCCATGCTGAGCACCAGCCATGGCCATGTCTCAGTGGGGTCAGCACACGTGGGGACTTTGTTCACCACCCAGGCCAAATCACTGCGGGCAGGAGCAGCTACCAGACATCTTTTTCCTTTTAGTTCTGCATTCATTTTTAATTATCTGGCGGTTTTAAAAACTATTTCTACTTTTACTTCACTAGATTATTTCAGACACTTTTCAGATGGCAAATTGTTACTTATATACAACAACAATAAAGGGTTCAGCCACTTTCTTTCTATTCTCATACTCTGGTTTCCCAGAGATAGCCACTTGGGACTCACTGAGCTGTTTTTCCAGAGTTTGTCTTTGCTATCATCTATCCTTCCAATCTTCAAAATAAGATCTGCAACGGGAGACACAGTCCAGGACAGGACTGTCCTAACATTCTGCTCAGTCTGCTGACATTTCGACAGGTTTCTTCCTCTCTCTATACCTCTGCCTTTGAGATTTTAAATCTCCCACATTCTACCTAATTCTAACAGCGATCTTTCTCAAGCACCTGATTGCCAGTTTGGAAATGTAATCATCAGGCAAACCGGGGCCCTCTTTTCCCCTCTAAGAGGGTAGAAGCTCATCTTTTGTTAAATACCAATTAGCACACACAAATGGTCAAATTACTTTGACGAATTTTCCTCTAATATCCTCAGTGCTTTTCACTCCTTCATCTCAGTGCTCAGCACTGTCCCTTCCACTTTATTCAGTACAGTTAAGTTCAAATTTCTCTCTCCTTTTGTAAGAGTAATGAACCTTACATTGGGCACCCTTAAATATACAGAATTATCTGTCAAATAACAATAAATCCTTCCTTTGCCTGTGTACCTGTATCTGCTTCATCTTTTCCTTTAGCGATACCCACCTTCACTTTTTGTAACACATTAAGCCATGATAAACACAGAGAAAAAGGAGAATGAAAGGCCAAGCCAGCTTGCCCAGAGTGTGTCTGGAACAAACCCGGAGACCCTGGGTGTGTGAGCCTCCTTCCCCAGAGCCTGGCCTTGGCATCTTGCAGCAGGTAAGAAAAGCAGGCCCTGCCCAGCTGACACACATAGTGTTCACTTCTTTTGTCAGCTCCTCCCCATCTGCCCACAATCTCTATCTGGTTATGCTATTTTATTTCTTCCTCAGTCATATCTTTCCCCTCTGGCTCAGTTCTATTTCTTTTTTTGATTGTTTGTTTGTTTTTTGTTTTTTGAGACAGGGTCTCATTATGCAATTGAGACTGACCTGGAACTCACTACGTAGCTCAGGCTGGTCTCAAACTCACAGCGATCCTCCTGCTTTAGCCTCCCAAGTGCTGGGGTTACAGGCGTGCACCACCACGCCGAGCCTCAGTTCTATTTCTTTTTTTGATTGTTTGTTTGTTTTTTGTTTTTTGAGACAGGGTCTCATTATGCAATTGAGACTGACCTGGAACTCACTACGTAGCTCAGGCTGGTCTCAAACTCACAGCGATCCTCCTGCTTTAGCCTCCCAAGTGCTGGGGTTACAGGCGTGCACCACCACGCCGGGCCTCAGTTCTATTTCTTTATCCTAATCTGAATCTAGATTTTCACATGAAGAGGACAATCAGTAGTCACAACAGTGAAAAGGGAGACATGGTCTTCTGGGCCTCAGTTTTGATCTACATTCTGACTGTTTTATTTAAATAAAAGAAGTACCTTAACCATGTGTAGCTCTGGTTGTATATTTTTCACAATGAGAATGATATTAGCTAGTTTGTGTGACCACTGCAGGGGTGATGCAAGGGATATAAAACAAGTGCAACATCCTGATACACAAACACCAGTGGGCCATAAACGTGGATCAATATACTGCCTTTCCTTTAGTGAAAACCACTTGCTGAAAAAAATCCAAAGAAGTATTGAAAGGTAGCAATGATATAGATTATTATAGCTCACATATTAGCTCCTAGAACCGTGCTCTTCTTTCCCAACCATGACTTTGATTTTTTTGGTGTGAAGTTTTCCTGCTTTTTGATGGCTGATTTACTTGAGAAAATGTCTTCTGTGTACTAACGGGCATTAGTAGTCATTAGTAGGCTTAACTCTCAACAGGGAATAGGAGAAGATAATTTATGTCTGTGAAAAGTCTTGAACTCTCTCCCCTCTGAAGAGCTCCAAGGCTGTTTCAGCTGAAAAGCAACAAATGAATAACAATTAAGGTCCCAGGTTCATTTTCAGAAAGACCGAAATTACTGTACTCAAAATAATCTTGTAGTAGTTCTTCTTTATTGGGAATTTATTAAGTTTAATATTTTATTAGGAAATGCTATAAATATTTTCTGATTCCTTGAAAAATTGCTAAATTCAAAGAAAATCTGAGTCATCTCTGCGCCTAAACAATGAAATCTAAACTCTGTTTATTCAGGATGACCCTCAGCCTCCCCGCTTTCTTAGCTGGGTACCGGTAGCCTCTGGCAACTATGTCACAGGTCTGTCATTACCGCAGGGGGCCTACTAGTCACCAAAGCGTGTACTTTTCATTTTCAGAAGACACAATCATAATATCTCACTGTCCTCTACAATACTGGCAGACATAAGTCCTGACACTCACTTCACAGGTTGTGTGGTTAAGCAAAAATTGCATGTTCACGGTGACTCATGAAGACTCACAAGTATGATATGATATTCAAACTCTTGATTCAGGTGTGAAAAGAGTGAACAACAGTTCACTATAACAAACAGTCTATAACAAACAGTGCCAGCTTTGAAGCCAAAAGATATACAAATTCAAATCTCTACAGAAAACTGTTTAATCTCTCTGAGACACAGGACACAGGGTCGTTGAAATAGTTTGATAATAGCACAACCATTTTTATGTGTTTTAAGATTTATATGTATATATGTATATGTGTGTGTGTGTGTATAGTACCAGAAATGTACACAGTCTGTAATTAATAATCAGTCAAAATTATTCAACAGCTGTTTCACAGTGCTTCAAATACAACATACTATTAAAATAAGCACTGCATTTTCAGAAAAAGTACAAATTTTGTAGATTAAACCTTTTCTAGGTTGGCTGACAACTCTTTTTTGAAATACTATAACATTCAGCCTAAGATCAATGGAGAATTATTTGGGCTCATGCACCAGTGTTATTCTTAGAAAAAATGTGCCCGTAAATCCAGCGTGTTTCATGTTTCAGTTGTGTCACATAAACTGTAAGCTTCTCAACCTTGGATGCTGGTGACAGCTTTGTGTGACTGGAGGGAGAGATGACAATGGCAGAATGAAAACATAATTGCAGACTGCACAAGATTCCAGCAGAGCCCATTCTTTCATTATTGTTTCATTATTAAAATATATAGTATAAAGTTAGACTGCATTTTCCAGACTCTTTCGAATAAAATGTGGACCTGTGTGTGCACTCTCGTCAGTGGACACGAACAGAAACCACATGTGTCTCGCTTAGGCTTGAATAACAGAATGCTTGTCACGATTCTCTCCATGGTTTCTGTCATTCATGCATCAGGCATATATGAAAATTAGATTCCAAGGGATGGAAAGATCACAAGAAACCCTATGAATTCCTGAATCTTCCCAGATACAAAAGTCATAGTATACCCGGAAGCACGTGTCTTTACCTAAGCAGAAGCATCATCTTGGCTGACCATTGTCACTTTCCAAGTTGGAAAGGATCCTAGATGGCAGCATTGGTGTGCTTTACATTACATATTCCAGGGCTGTGTTGACCACCAGGACAAACCCAGCACACTGTGGCAAAAGCAGAGAGGCCTCTCAGAAATAAAAGAATGCATGCTAAATATTGGGTGTAGTCTTAACTAAAACATTTATACTTAATGCATTTTGTACAGGTTTAAGCGTATTGGTCGGATAGGAACGGGAACTTTTTATATAATTAAGAGTTGGCTCTCTACTAGTCTACTAGTTCCTAGGGTTGCTGTATCAATGTGTTACAAACTGTGGTTACAACCACAGAATATGTGGGTTTTTTTTATTATGGAAGGTACGAATCTTAAATCAAGCTCTGACAGAGTGATACTGTACAAAAACTGCTGGGGATTCCCTGAAATTGCTGCTTCCAAGACTGAGAGAGTTTATTGGAGATCTATGGTATCCTTCCCCTTGAAGCTTCATAAATCCAGTCTCTTCGTTTACTGTCACATGACGCTATTTGTACACACGTCTCTCTTCACATGCTCTTTGTGTGATCAAGATATGTCATACTGGATTGGGGCCGCGGCTTCAGTATAACATCATCTTACTTCATTCTATCTGTAATGTTCCTCATACTCTGAAGTACTGGGACTTAGGACTTCAACTTATCATTTTTGAGGGGGCACAATTTAGCATGCAGCAATTAGTATTCATAAGAATTACTTCAATATATCTCTGCATCCTTACAACCATGTGTCCTTGGCTGTTCTCTGTACCCAGTTAATCCCATCCCGTACTTCAAGTCCCATTGTATTATTTTTCTCATTCAGGAGCCTTCTCCAGTGCCGCTTCATGAAATTTCCTCCCTTTTGTGAAATCCTGTATGATGGAAAATCTAAGCCTTTAGCTTATATTCCCATTGATAGTTATATCATGTCAGAGCTAGATCAGAAAAGCATGACCACTGAGGGACACAGATCACACACCCATACCTGTTTACTCATACACACATATTCAAGCATGGTTTGCCACTGGTTACTGAACTTAAGTAACCATTTGAGCTAGCTAAACACTCCTCGTGAGATGGCTATTTCTGAGTCAGACATTAGAAAGGGTGGCAGGGGAAGCAGGCAGAACTTGAAAAGAGTACACAGAAGCAAACAGGAGGCCCCGGGACTGATGCGGAGTCCATGGGGGAACTGGAACTATGCCGGGCTGTTATATTGCCCTTGGTTCAACCTTGACAGACAGGAGGAGAAGGTGAGGCCTCATATCGTGGAAGTAAATATTCTTCTATCCCAGAAACCAAAAATTCGAGGATGAAGGTGCAGGGGTAGGTGCTAGAGAAGATATGGGTATGCAGCAGACCCAGCCAAGTGGCCAAAAGGTGACAACACACAGCAGTTGCTAATGCACCTGTGTCCTGCTCCCACGCTCCTGAATGGAACCAACAGGGACTACCCCTTTCTACCTTTGCTTTACACATCTAGGACAGAAGATTTCCTGCAGTTTGAGGTACAACAAATATATATGGAAAGGATTACGGAAAATGAAGTTTCAATCCAGCCAAGTTGGTGCGATAAGAATCTACCACACTATCTTTAAACAAGTGAAGAGTGGATCTCTTTCTATCCTTTTCCATTTATTTTCACTGAATACACATTAAGCAATTATCTTTTTAATAACTGTATTATGTACCAAGACAACAGGGATTAATAAGACATGGTCGCTTGCCTCATTCAGCTTCCAGTCCAACAAAGAAACAGGGCTATAATCATTCAATTAAATGTGCTTTCACAACTGCTATTACAATGGTACACACCAGGTAATACAGAAGCTTAGAGAGCAAGGCGACCAGCTCTGCCCTGAAGCACTGTTGAAGACTTCACAAGGAAAATAAAAACTGTCAGGTAATAATACAAAGTTTTGCTTACTTAGGCTGCTAATATGTACTGCTGACTTCTGCTAAGCATGCATGCATGTCATTTGTAAATCCTATAACTATCTTGTGATTTTTTTAAAGCCCATTTGTAAGTAAGAAAACTAGGGAATAGAAAATGAACATAATTTTCCCAGGATCCCCACTGACTGAGTGGTAGGTCATTCTTAAAACTCAGACTTCTAATCCTGAAGCCCCTGACTTCTGGGCTCATCGCTGTTTGTAAACTACAGGGGTAAAGGAGGTAGCTACAGAGAGAGCAGAGTATGCATGCGTGCATGCGTGCATGCAAGTGAGTGTGTGTATGTGTGTGTGTGTGTGTGTGTGTGTGTGTGTGTGTGTGTGTGGAAAATTTAAAACTATGATATCTTGAGGGAATGGGCTGGAGTTCCACATGTCTAGAATAAGCAAGGGCAGGAAAAGAGCAGAGGATGGGGAAGAAGGCAGGAACTATGGCAAAAGGGAAAGCTGGTACGATTTGAAAGGCAACTGGAAGGCACTGGAGCACTTATCCTGGGAGAGACATCAGCAATAGGTAATAGATACTGAATTTTCTCATTCTTGCGTATCCCTGTCATTTTAGCCTCATTAAAGTCCTGGAAATTAGTGACGGTTATTCTCATTTCAGAGATGAGAAAACCAAAACATAGACAGGTTAAATAACTTCACTGAGATCATACTGCAGGAAAACTACTCAGCCAAGATTTGAACATAAACAGTGGCTCACTTCAGAAGTCAAGCTCTGCCATGAATATTACAAAGTAGACAAAGAAGATCAGAAAGATGGTGTGGGCATGGACTGATACTCCACAATCACAGGTAGGGCTGCGTCTTTAGCTACATTGGGTGGAAAGCATTGCTTCACTGATTGATTAATAGCTCAAGTTATAAGGCACCTCCTTCCCTTACAGAACTGTTAGTAGAATTTTGCATCTGAGCAATGCAGCTATCCAATCTGTGGCCTGAAGGATGTTCACATCCAAAGTAAGCTCACCCTCTCCGTCTTAGCTCTGCCTTCACCAAGACTGGCAGGATCCTCCATCAGTGGGGTGACCGACTCCTCACTTCCTTGGACTTACCCATTTCAGTGCTGAAATTCCCTCTGACCGTCAATCCTTAGTCCTGGGCAAACCTGAACAGTGAAACACATTCTCCTTCTCTTAGTAAAGAGCCTAAATTGCATTCTTCTTTAAGAAAAATTGTACACAGATGTTTATATATTTATGCCGAAGACCCCTGCCCTCAAGGAGAACATCCCAGCTTCTTAGGACACAGAGGAAATCAGTTCTCTCTGTTTTAGAGAATTTGGGGAAAACTCTCACTGAGTACTACAGCACCCTCTATGGGTAGAGTCATGCTCTTGTTGTCTGTAAAACAAAACCAAATTGGTTCAAGCACCACTTTTTCTACTGTGAGCTCTTCGTTTTCACCATGACTACATTTATCTCTGTGATACAATTTGTAAATACAAATGAGCATATTCCCTGGGAACGTTAGTTGGCACCTCGACCTAATGTAAATATAAAAAAGGGTGTTATTCTACTTTTTAAGATTCAAATGTCAAAAGCCTGGTAA